AAAAAAAAAAAAAAAAAAAAAAAAAAAAAAAAAAAAAAAAACTGGAAGAAAATTGAACTACACATTCAGCAAAGATGGTTCTTATAATTTTACACATTCAGAAGAAAGAATATTAAACAGGAAGTTAACCAAAAAAAAAATATATATATATTATATATTATATATATATTTATAAAGCACATAATAATATTTCACAAATCATTCTTAATCTGCAGCAAAACTACTAAACAAATTCCGTACATTTTTTAAATTACAATTACTGCTGCTGGTTTCTTTCTTCTGATACCTCACCTCCACCTTCCCAGGAGTTTGGATCCCAAAAAAAAGAAAGAAAAAAAGGAAAAAAAAAAAAAAGAGGATAAAGAAAAAGAATACCAAAAAAATTGGAGAGGGTCATCAAATCTGGACCATCTATATCACAGTCATTTTTTAACACTCACTTTAAACTGTTACCATGTAGTCTCCTCTCTGTGCTGCAACATCTGCCAATCTTTTCCAAGCTAACTCTCTCTGCTCCTCGACGTCTTTCGCCTTCATCTCCCGCTCTGTGTACTGCCTTTGACATTCTTCAAACAACTCGATGTCCATTTCCATGAACATCTTTCGAACGTTGACGGTCAGTCCGTGAACTGCCTGGTTCCAATGACTTCGGATATTCTTCTCCAATGCTTCGAAAATTATTGGTAATACCACACCCCGGTTTTGGGCTATCAAGCCAACAATGTGTTCGTTGTTCCACAGAAACAGTGCTCGTTCAGCAACCTGCAACAAGTAGTGGCCTTGTAAGAACTAACGGAACAACAAATTATGCGATTGAAACACAATGCTCTAAGTGGATCCACACAACAGCATCATTCCCAAGGACACTTCAAAAGGTATCAGTAGTTCGTCATTATAATAAAAAGATGGATCACTGAAATGAACATACAGAACAAAGTTTTTTCAAACCAGTGTCATGCCTACATTTAGAACAACGAAACCAAGGAGTTGTTTTTTAATAAACTTTTTAGAAGCTTCTTCCAAGCCCTTCATTTGATATACACTGAAAGGGTATTGTCGACCATTCTGAACACTGATAAAAAAAAAATCTCGGTTCGATTCTTATCGTCTATACACTCTTATCGTCCAAAGAACATTATCTAAGAAAACGGAAAGACGTTGCTATTCACAAAAGAAAGCCCTAAGATATCCAAACAATCCTAACTTTTGTTTAAATCACAGTATGAAAGACTCGATCAGTACTTTCTTGAATAAATCCTTCGGATCTACAGACTGGTCAAATGAAAATCTCTCTTCCAACAACAGATTATTTTGGAATGGCAATCTCATCCAGATACATTCATAAACTTTCCTAGTGGCTCTTTATCCAAAAAGAAGGGTTCTTATAGTTCTCACTGTTTATAAGTCCTGCAGTTTAATCTACAGCATTAGAAGCCTGTATACTAGAAGACAAAAGCCCCATCAGTACAAAAAAGATATACCCCAGGCGCCTGTTTTACACCTTAAGAATGCACATTTTAAAACCTTAAGAAGAAACCTAAATGACATGAAAGTGAAAAGAAAATTTTTCTTATGGATATAAATTACTTAATTAACGGACATTAAAATCTATGTCATCAATCATTTAAAACATTGTTTTTATGGGAGACAAATAAATTGAATATTCTAATTGATGTATGTCCGTAATTAGCTTAAATTGATAGTGATAATGCATGGTTAAAATAATTGTTTTGAAATTGGCAAGTGTCTACTTATGATGTACATCTTTGAAGATATTGCCATACAAACTAAACACAAACATCTTTGACATACATCCTATAAAAGATCCTGATGGCCTTTAATATTAATAGGTGTACCCCTTCTCATGAGGTATGAGTACTCGTAGGAGGCTTCCATTTAAATTTAGATACCTAAACTGGAACCTATCCCCGGCTCAGACATTATGTGCAGGAAAAGGGAGGACAAATGGATCAATTATTCATGTGACACCCTTTTGCTACTAGCCTCTGGCACTAGCGTTTGCAGATTTGTGGTTAAGGAATGGCTTGAACTAGAGGAAAAAGTATCACAGCGTCTTTACTTTGTACCCATCCCTTTCAAGACGAATAGTAATACCCTTTGGTTCAATTGCTTAAATGGCTACTTTATCACGAGACTAAGTTAAAGTGGAATAAAAGAGCATGAACTTTCCACAGGGTTGATAGAGGGTCGGGAAAAATTAGGAATCTAGTTTTTGTTTCTTCTTGGTGTTCTCACAGTCACAGCAGAGAATTTTATAATTACATTCTTTCGTCTACTGAGGCTAATTGAAGACAGATTTTGTTTCTCCTTGGACCTTTTAGCTTCAGCTATCATTCGTTCCAGTGGAGTATTTAGTTTCCACTCACTGTGCCAAAAGCATATATATCAATCTAAATTAGGTCCTAGGATAAAAACACCAAGATTTTTCTCACGTCAAAAAATAAAAATAAATAAATATATGGCAAGAAGAGGGCGTCACTGTCTATTTCTTTAACCATTTTTGGCTTGTAATATTAGGAAGGACGAAGTGACAGCAAGCCCAGAGAGGAACGACCTCCCTTTGGCCATTCAATCCATCCCCATCAAATCAATATACAAACTAATAGTGTTTATGATTCAAAAAGAGATAGACAAAAAAATCTACAAGAAATCCGAATATGGGAAGAAAATCAAAATATAGAGGCAAAATAAAAATCGAATCTTGCAAGACACAGCAAAAAAATCTAAATAACTAACTGAACTCGAGCATGAATTAACAGTAAAATAAGAACAATGACTGTCAGCAAGACAAGTTATTAATAGTATACATATTCATAACTAAGTTGAGATAGAATTGTAATGAATAGAAAGTTGAAAATATCTAATAACTTCAAACCTGAAAATGAGAGCTATTCAGGCAACGTGCAATTTGTCTAAAAAGAGGAACCATACAGCGCTGAAACTCTGCTGATTGTGTAGCCTCTAGTACTTCTTCAAGCTCCCCTAAGAAAAGAACTTCTTTCTGACAGTTGGTCAGGGGCCAATATTTCAACAAGCCCCTTACAACAGTATCCGCAAGCTTGAAATCTTTTTCGACGAACTGTGTTATGCAGTAGGATAGCTGTTGGTGATAGATTGCAATTGATTTAGGCTTGTGCAAAGGAATAAGAGCCCGAACAAGAAACAATTTATGCTCCTCTTTCATTGGCAATGCAAACCCATTGATGATACTCCCAAGGATTTCCAAAAGCTCGCCAACACCACTGTGCCTTTCTGTCTCGTAAATGAACCGATAAAAAATGTTATTGATTGCCTTCCGAATAAATGGCCGATGGACCATGAACTTCCCGTATATACGATGCAAGATTGTCTTCAAATACTCCCGCTCACGAGGATCCTCGGAGTTGAACAAATCCAAAAGTTTCAACACGAATGAGTGGTCTATATACCTCTTGGCAATTTTGGTATCAGTATCAGATGACACAACATATCTCAGTAAGAGTTCATATACAAGCTGCAAATGCGGCCATGACGGTTCCAAATAAGGTTCATCTTCTTCAGGATCAGCATTTTCCTGGCCTGTATTTTCATGCGCAGCTGGAGGCAAGCACCGAAAAATATTTACTGAAATCATCCTAATCATTTCTTCCTGGCAAGTTTCTGTGATTTTCCCCGACCCTGATTGTATCACATCAACCAATTCCAGAAGCGTCTGCCGCTTAATTTCCTTCTCTCTGGCAGACTTCAGAGTGTCCGAAAAATCAAACTGATAGCAACATATCTGCAATTTTCTAATGAACAAATTCTGCCTTTCTGAAGCAGGTACATCGCGGAACAACGGGAGAGGTTCTATAGTGCCAGTAGGAGGCGTCAACGTGACAACCCCTGTAGCACAGTTTGAATTAGGGCCCGATGCTGCAGGTCCAGGCCGAGAAGCGTGATTCACCACCACGCTCGTCGTCGAAACAGACCCTGAATTACAATTCCCCGGCGGTCCAAACGCGTAAGCTGAAGGATCAGTGGCATCGGACTTGGAGGGCTTCCGATGCCCTCCCTTCATAATTTTCTTAAACATGACTCCTCAAAACAAAAAACCCTAATCCAAATATTCGGTAGATTCAAGGAACGGGAATTAAAGCTGAAGCATGAACCACTGATTGAAAAGGTACCAATTCCAAGAAACGATAGATCAACATGCACGGATTAATAGCCCTAAGTCATGATTAAACAAGAGGAATAAAATCTTACTCCCACCAATTATTTCGAAGTGTCAGAAATCTACGAAAGAAAGCATGGATCTGAAATTAGGGATTGAGACACGGGGAAACGGAATCAAACAAAAAAACGTTACCCTGTCGCGATACAATCTCTGTGAAACTTGGCCGTCAATGGATCCAAGTAACGAGTCATCCGAGTCGAATCGCCGGAATTCCGGCGAGTTGATTGATCGATGTGATTCCGTCGATCAATCCGATCAGAGAAACAGAGCCCCCGACAGCCAGAGAGAGAGATTTCGAACAGCCGAAGTGGAAGATAATTAAAGAAAGGGACGAAAAGCTAAAACCAGAAAAATAAAATTATTAAAATATTTTTAAAAATTATAAAAAGAAATGATTGCATTTAATGGCTTTATAGACAGTTGTTTCTTCTTCTTCATTTCCTTCATTAAATAAATAAATAAATTGAATTAATATTCTCTTTATTTGAAATAAAAAATAATTTAATTTAATTCATTCAAACTTAGGATAATGCTTTAATCTTTTCAAATTACCCTTTTTTTTTCTTATTTCATTTTATTTTTTATATTTTTTAAAAAATGAAGAACAAAAATCTTGAGCGGCTGTGGCTTGTGATAATACACGTGGACAACAAGTGAAGGAAGTGTCCACGTGGACAAAAATACTTTCATTTTTTATGAAATATAATTTATACCTAAATTTTTGTCAGGGTATCCATTCATCAAATAGAATCTTATCTGGCGGTGGTTGTTCGACTAATTAAGTCTATTTAACTGTCAAATACTCGATTTTTTTTTAATTAATAATAAGCTAAAGAGAGAGGCTCAAAAAGAATTGAAAAACGCCATCTTTTGTGATGTGATATTCTTTAAGGTAAATAATATTAATTAGTTGAGATATAAGATTTGTAGTAGGAACATTTAAAGGGTAGCGATGTCATTTTGCTAAGAAAATGTCACATAGTCATGTTGCTTGTAATCAAGGATGTGTCAATATATGCCATTATTTTGGAATGTATAATATAAAGTCCAATTTTGAAATTATTATTTGAAATAAAATCTGAACCATCGGATAGGAATAAATAAGTACGATCAATTCCAATTTATAATAATTGATACGGATATTTATCCAAATGGCATTAATTGATTCTATAGGTTGAAATTACCTTTTGCCCCACCAAATTTTTAAGGAATCTAAAAATTGCCAAGACTACATTATAAATTTAATTAATGTAAATTGAATATTCAATTTATTTAACTTTTTAAATATCATTATATATATATATATATATATATATATATATATATATAATTTGAGCAATTAAAATATAATGCCAAAAAAGAAAGTATGTTTAAAAATAGTTGGAAAACTAGATGGTTTTTTGTGGAGAAAATTAAAAGATAAATAGGAAGTCAAGATTTGATAGTCAACCAAAAGCAATTCTTATTTTAAATTGTTTGAAGTTGACTTTTATTATTATTATTATTATTATTATTATTATTATTGACAGTATTAGTTGTGATTTTTTTATTGACTTTCCTATAGCTGTTGGACTATAAAAATACTATTTATGGCAAATAACAATTTCCCACTTTAAATATTTATTTTGTTGATTGTAATTTTAAAAATAAAAAATGTTTTTTATTTTTCATATAAAAAAAAACACTCAATTTAGTCCACTGCATTCCAATG